GGTATAGGACTTTTCACCTCAGTTTTATTCCTTCTACCTGTGTACGAGAGATGTTAAACCAATTCTGGGACACCCTGTATATATATTAAAAAATATATACAATATATACTATATATACTATGAATAATATAAGGTAATATATATAATTTTCTTATAAAGCAAAAGTGTGTATAGACTTTATTATAATTAATTANTTATTCTAAGTATCTGGAATATTCTGATACAGCCGAAGACAGATTGAGTCAATCTAAATAGAAAAGTCTTATACCATTTTGCAAATATTCATAATAATTATTGAGAATGATTAATTAATACATATGATGATTGAAAAATATCAAACGTTCGCAACAAGATATTAAAGTTAGAAATCAATGACTTGAATGAATTAAAAAAAACTGCAACATATCACAAGAGAATTATCTAGAACCATCCCATATAATATCCTAAACACTTTTCTGTATCACAAGAAAAAACAATGCATAAATACCATGCCAAACTAAATCACAAACCACGAGCAGATAAGAACAACTCCACGGTAGCGGAGTAAAAAAAAAAGCAAGATTACATCAAACAAATTAACAAAATGTTACTGGATAACAATACATATACATAAAAAAATTAACAATACGTTTGAGATTGACACTTTAGATCCTATTGAAAGGAAATTAATTATACTACCTTACATCAACAATTTATCAGAGAACATTACAAAAGGGTTTAAAAGAAAAGAAACAATAATAGGCTACAGATGCTTAAATAGACTTAGTGGATTAATCAAAACTCAAAAAGATTTTACTCTTCTTTCTGAATCAAACATGAATGTAATTTACAAGATCAATTGTAACAACTGTTGTGCATCTTACGTAGGGCAAACAAAAAAATAGCTAAAAACAAAAATAAAAGAACATAAAAGAAATTTTGACAAAATTTCATCGGAACTATTGGTTATCTCCGGACATAGATTGGATTACAACCATTCATTTGACTGGGATAATGTCGAAATTTTGGACATTGAATCTAATTTTTATAAAAGACTCATTTCGGAAACTATTCATATAAACCTATAACAAACCTTGGGTTTAAATATTATCAGTAACACGGACTTACTAGACAAATCTTACTTTTATCTACTTGACAATATTAAAACAAACAGACTTTAAATTTTAAATTCAACGTATTTATTGACTTTATATTTCTTCGTAAGTGAGGCTTTGTGTATATATTTTGCGGTCTTTACGGTTTGCACAGCGTTCGATATTGACTTTCACCATGTGAGTATCTTGTCTGTTTATACGTGCTTCAAAAGTGACAACATAATAACGATTTTAGGACTTATTCACACTAACTCCAACGGTAAATACATCAATCTACTAATAATTAACGCAACAACATGTAAGAACGTTATTTCTGAAGAGGACTCAAGTAGGAGTTGAAACATACAATTTTTACCGTGATATCATTTTGTATTAAAATCGCGGTTTTACTTAATTTAATTTTAATTAATAACACCTTACATTGCTCGTTTAATTGACCTGTTTTATTATTTTTGAAATATTGTAGTTTAACGCTTTTATATCATTCTTGCGGCATGGTACCCTAACGTTATCGAAGGATTTTACCTGCAACGAGGAAATATTAAAAAAAAATCTAAATAGAGAATGCGGAGTAAAAAGACAAACAAGCGAGAGAAAAGCGGAAAACGCACGAGAGCCAGAACAACAAATCGCTAACAGCAGACAGCGCTGTCTAAGAGCAAAACGCACTGATGAAAATTCTGTCTTGTCACACAACGACACAAATAGCACGCCAGGAACAATTTTTTTCAACAAACGAGCAAAAGAAAGAGCTTCAAACATTTGAAAATTTTAAATTAACATTTTTCAAAGAATTCTTGAAGCCAGTAGTCCACCGATGGTTGGAATCTCTAATAGTTTAAAATAAATAACATATTAACTACTCAGTCAAATGAGATAAAACGGAACGTTTCAATCACTGTTTATTTCTAATCATCATCAGTCATTCTACAAATTAGCGTAATAAAGATATTAGAAAAAATCTGTCAATGGTTACATTTATTTTACATCTCGCAAAAGAGTAAAGTAACGGTACATGCCATGTGACAATTCAAAAAAGCACAAAAGAGAAAGAAACTCGTCGTCATGTATTAACAAGCAGGATAGTCAAACCAATAGCAAAATCAGCATGAAAAGATTGTCTCAACGTGATGGTTCTGTAATAATTGTGTGAAAAAAAAAATTAAGTTACTAATATTCTGTGGATAGAAGAACTGTTAGTACGTGCGGTGCCACAGGAATATAGCATCACAGTTTGTTGAATTTGTGGAACTCCTTATAAATCGGCGTAATTAATAATGCTGTCTGTGGAGAAACTGGAAAAACTGGAGAACTATCGAGAATGTGAATGGAACTCCTGTCAGAATTTGCACTTTTTAAATTTGCGATGTCATCTTCACGAGTGCCCATGCTTCAAAATTCTGATAAGTTCTGCACGTATTTTTGCGCGTGTTTCCCAGCGCAGATGGTACTCAGAGTGAAGCACATTTGTGCCTTCATTTCCGCTCCAAACTGAAAAACTTTCTATCTCAGAATCACTTTATTACTCTCTTTCTCTTTTTTCACATTTGCGCACACCGCCATCTCGCGACCGGAAAAACATTGCAATCTTTATAAAAGATGTTTATAATAAAAATGATAACTGAAGATCTTTTATATTTTTTTTTATCTAGGCTTTAGTAGGCAGCATGAAACATAATGAAAAAGGTGTTGTATATAATCTTTCTCATTGTTGGATTCGGACCGGTCTTCTCACTAGCGGAGGTAACATAACAGTAATTAAGTCATGTGTTAAAATACATTTTAACCTTCATCAATATTATGTTAATATTAGTAGTAAAGTAAAAGATCACTTAAAAGTATTTGGTACCATAATTATTTCCTCTGTGTTTCAGGTAACAAATGGCGAACACGGCGAAACCTTTTAACTCCTACTTTTCATCATAATATATTGAAAAACTTTGTTGATAGTTTTGTCGAGGAAGCAAATAAAATGATTATGGTTTTGAAAAATAGTAGAAGACCAGTTGTGAAAAAGTTATGGCCATTTGTAAGCGAATATACGCTGAACTCAATATGCGGTAATCTGTGTTTGTTGTACTCATTATATCTATTTTGAATATAATTTAAAAATAATAAAAAATTTGTTTTTGTTTATCAAGACTATGATAAATTAAACATCAATATTTGATTAACATGTACTGCAATTTTAGAAACATCTATGGGCATTTCTATAAACAATTCAACTGATTCCAAAAATTATCGTGATGCTATTGAACAGATGAATGACATTCTTATGTATAGGTAATTTATAACTATATGACAACTATCAATTATTTTCTTTAGCATATTAATGTACAGTACTCACATAAAGTTTTCGATTTAGAGGTACAAGACCTTGGCTATACAAAGAATGGATAAATGCATTGTTTCCAATAGGCAAAAAACAAAAAAAACTTCTGAACACATTACACGGTTTCACAGAAAAAGTACGTAAAAGTAATTCAACTGTAATCAAGTGATACTAACAATAAGTTATAATGATATAACAAAACAAGAAGATAAATAAAAGACGAATAAGAGAAAATACTATACTCTGTGTATGTATTTGTAGATTATTGCGGAGAGGAAACATTATCATGAACTTACCGGTGGTCGGTATTTAAAACCTGAAAGTGAATATGACACAGAAATTAATGACAGTACGTAACAAAACACAATATAAAATGTTTAAATCAATTATGTATTTGTGATTTATACATAGTATAAAGTAGTTTGTTACTTATAAACAAAGGAAATGACATTATAGTACTTTACAGTATATAACAACGACTTTTACATAAAATTGAATTAGTCTTGTTGGATGAAAATAGAGTTTATACCCTTCAAACAAAAAACTTTCAACAGAATATTTAATTTTTAAGTCAACTTAATATATAATAGTGGATTTTTGTAGCTAAAAGAAGACGAATGGCCTTCTTAGATTTATTGATAGCGGCGAATCATGAAAACAAATTAACTGATTTAGATATCAGAGAAGAAGTTAATACATTCACAGCTGCGGTAAGTATTTGTTTCTTAGAAACCATGTATATATTATTAAAATCTTATATCACATAATAAATTGTACTATTACAGGGATACGAGACTACAACAAATGGAATATGCTTCGCTTTGATGTTGTTGGCTAAACACAAAAATATTCAGGTATATTTTATGTTGAACAAGAGAGTAGTGTAATTATTTAAAGGAAAAACTAAATTTTAAGGTAAATGTACAGAATAGGGGAGCCCCCTCCGATCGGCTTCTCGTTTTGATATATTGTAAATATGACCTTCCTGAGTACGTTTCTAAAAGTTTTAGCCGTCGCTCATTGTTTATAAAAAACTTATGAACAAAAAAAGTTTCATAAATAAACTATCGTTTTTCGACACCGTGTACATTTTTCGTGTGTTGTAAGCATGTAGGCAGGGGGGAGGAGCGAAGCCCCTCCACCTGCGGGGGGGCGCAGCCCCCCCTGCCTACACGCTTGCAACGAAGAAATGAAAACTTTTCGTTGTTTACGACCTTTTATAATTTTAAAATAATGTTTTCCGCAATGAAATACATGATTTTCCAAACTGTTTCTCAATAGCAAAACATTTCCACATTTCGGACACGTTATTTCTTTACAAATGACTTTTTTTTCACTCAAAAAATTNCACAAAGAATCAAAATTGTGTGTAACATTTAGAAATTCATGGAAACGCATGGTGAAACTTTCCAAAATTCAACCGTGTACGACAGAAATCTATTACACACTGAGCGAAAAGACGAATACGAACGAAGGAATCAAAACAAAACAGAAAGTTTCGCGATATGCTATATATACACACATTGTTGGCAACATAAACATTACTCATTTCCTTCTGAAATGTACACGGTGTCGGAGAAAATTGGTTTATTCATGAAACTTTTTCTGTTTGTAACTTTTTTATAAACAATGAGCGACGGCTAAAAGCTTCATATTGTTACTCAGGAAGGTAATCTTAATAACATATGTGAAAAAGAAGCCGATCGAAGGGGGCTCCCCTATTCTGTACATTTACCAATTTTAAAGTACTTTCACCCAAAACCTATTTACTGCTTAAACTTAATACCTCAGTACTTAAATACATATACATACGTATGTGTATATACATGTATAGAGAGAAAAAATTTAATACAGAGAAAAATATACATCGTATAATAAAAATAATTTTTTGTAGACGGAGACATTAAAGAAATGTCAAAGTCTACTTAGTTGTTTAAAGGAGGATCCCGATAGCCAAGATTTCTTTTGCGCGGAATGACGGTTGCACAGATTCCGTTTGCCTAGATCCCGTTTGCACAGAAAATTTTTGCGCATAGGTGTCATTGCACAGACATATTATAGATTAAGCTGGGTTAGATGTCTTCGGGGTGCAGAAGGAGGGGCGGAGCCCCTCCCCCGCCCACGTATGTACTATATAGTGTGTGATATAAGCAAAATATTTACTTCGCAAATGTAATAATAACGACTATGCGCAATCAGAATCTGCGCAAAAATTTTCTGTGCAAACGAGATCTAGGCAAGCGGAACCTGTGCAACCGTCGATCTGCATAAAAGAAATTTTGGCTATCAGTATCCTGCCGTTGTTTAAACAAAGTCATTCTATGTAAGTTTCTACATATTAATCGATGCAATAGTTGGCGCATAAAACATATAAGAGTAGAATACCCAAAAATTTAATATTTTACAAAAGTTTAGATTGTAATTTGGCGTACTGTATTATTTAAACAATGATATATATCGTAAAATTTTTCGATCATCTTGCCTTTTATGCATATAATAATAAAAGAACTTAATTCATGTAAGGACATATAATTTCTTTTTAAGATAAAACATCAAGTTTTGCAACAACTCACATGGCTTTGACATGTCTTCAGAAAAAATATCTTGTAAACTATTTAATCTTTAGGGATATCCTACTTTTATATTTTTTCACGGTAAACATAGCAAAGATTCGATTCATATAAACAAAAACTTAAGTAGGGTAATTTCATTTAAAAATGTCACATTGACTTTGAAATTTCTTCAACTTTTCGTTGTTACACGTCTTTTTCCGATTTTAGTTGTCATACTGGATCAATTTGACCTAATCCGTGAACGTAAACTGTTCTGTATACTAATAAATGTGTTCTTATGAAGCACTTAAATAGAATTAAAAAATTTCAAATAAAAATGATTGTCTTACTGTTTTGAGCACTTCTTTACACAACAACAACTGTACTCAATTTGAAATAAAAACAACGCCTTTATCATGTTTGGGTCACTTTGATTCTACGATAACTTTTGACGGGTGTCAAACACGCACTGAGGCTTTTTCTTACTCTATAAGAAAAGACAAGAAAAGTCTCTATTCTTATAGAGGACACTTGAGTTCACACATTATTAGTAGGCACTAGTATTGTTTCGCTGATGTCTCAAAGATATTTTATTTCAAAGTCAACATTGGGGTCATTTTGTCACCCAGTGTGACAACAAAAAGGTGATGTCTCCATCTATAAAAACAAAAAATTCTTTCATACACCTTTCTTTATATATATATATATATATATATATATATATATATATATATAATATATATATATCAAATACGTATATTAAACAAATTTTTTATATAAAGTGCTCGACTGTTTTTAAATATTTATATCGGTTACTTTACACACGCACACACACACACACACACACAAATTATTATATATATATATACATATACACATATGTGTATAAGAGTGTTCCAAAAGTATGAAAACTCTTGATTATTTTGAAAACATTTTAAAAAAACGTTTAATACAAAAGTTATAAGAGTTTTAGTGATGCATCACATAGTACAGTTATTTTGACCTTGAATGGCGTTATCAAGGTCAGGATATGAGCAACTTTCAACAGGCTATGAAAACTTTCAAGTTTTTAAGTGGAATGTCCTCTTTTTTATAGCATATATTTATATCCCTGATAGGAAAACATTTACAAAATTATGTGACGAAATCTTGCACTAAAATTGTAATTTGCAATTATACAGACATATTTTAGGAGATAGATGTAAAAACATTGATCTTTTATCAAATATTTGTCACTGTTTGCAACAGTACTTTCCAAATACTATTTCGGCAAAAGAATAACGATATGGCGAATCATCGTAGCAGTATATTTGCAAAATTAATTTCACAAAGAAATTGTCTAATAATTGAGAAAAGAAATTCAGCTATGTGATGTTTAAAATATGTAGAAATATAATTGCATATGAAGAAATGCAAGAAATCGTCGTTACTCATAATGTCATATTTGTGCAATATTTTCACAATTTGCCTATCGGAGGTATTGTACCTATTGTGGAAATGCATAACGACTCTTTTCTAATTTTTGACAAATATTATTTACAAAATTTTATTGTGACAAAACTGTTGCATTATGGCGAATCATCTTAGTGCAATCATTGCAAAATCGTCGCCATTCATGATGCCATTTTTGTGCAATATTTTCGCAAATGTGCCTATTAGGGATAATTGACGTAGAGACGACCTTATAAAGCTACAGTAGAACTTTATTTATATGAATCGGAAGGGAGACAAGAAAGTTCAAATAACTGGATAGTTCATATAATAAGAGTTCACCTACAGGTAGTCAAGTAAGAGCGTGGTTGACTTTGCCGACAGGTAATAAAAGATTTTGCTCTAATTCCTTCGTGAGCCTATAGAGAGAAGCTTTGTCCTTGATGCATTGTCGACAAAGATTCAGCTGTCGTTGATTTTTTGGAAGAGAAACACGTTAAGCGTCATGAGTGCTAAATACGCGTCGCGCTACGAGGCTGTGTTCCTTTGCACCCATCCGAGAGGTCCAAAAATGTCGCAATCAGCGGCTGCTAAATACATGAGAAAGTCGAAAGCATTTGTACAGAAGTGGATACAGCGATATAAAGTGGCAAAAAATGTTGATGATTTACCAGAACGTGGCTCGATAGGCAAAGTGGACAAAAAAGACGGAAAAAAAATAGTGAATCTGTTTTTGCGGAATCCTGCTTTAACACTGCGGCAAGGACAAGCAAAATTAAAGTCAAAAGGTTTAGATATTTCGTACGAAACTATCCGAACTCATCTCCGTGCTCATGACCTGAAATTTCGCAACACAATGAAGAAGCCTCTGTTGACTGAAAAACATGTGACGAAGCGACTCGCTTGGGCGCATGAGAATATCGATAGAGATTTTGACAATGTAATTTTTACTGATGAATGTTCTATATGGGCACGTTGTGTCCTCACGCGAGCCTGGTCAACTTCCACCAATAGGCTTGTCCAGCGGACCGTAAAACACGGAATAAAGGTGCATCTTTGGGGCTGCTTCTCAAAGCAGGGATTCGGCAATTTGCACCTGTTCACCTACAACCTAAATGCCGAAGGAATGCTGCAAATCTACAAAAAGGCTTTGCTGCCGTCTGCCAAACGTTGGTTCATCAGAAAAAATGACGATTGGATTCTGCAGGAAGACATCGATCCTAAACACCGCAGCAAGCTCTGTACCGAGTGGAAGACGCAATNTGGCATCGTTACATTGGATTGGCCGTCGCAGTCGCCNGATGCAAACCCCATCNAAAATGTGTGGGCATATATTAAGCAGAAGNTTCGTGGAAAACGCACACACACTTTGAAGCAGTTATCTTGCGAAATTCGTCGGATCTGGAGATCGTTGCCACTAGAATACGCCGTCAAATTAGTCGAAAGCATGCCTCGGAGATGCCAGGCAATTATCGACGCCGGTGGTGACTGGACACATTATTAACATAATTGCATCATTNTTTGTATTGAGTACAATGTATATATAAATATAAAAATTTCATTTAATAAATTTTTTCATAAATTTACACGACCACGCTCTTACTTGACTACCTGTACTTCCCCTCACCATCTATTGCACAAGTTGTCCGCTCTTATTATATGAACTGTTCATATACTAAGAGCTCAGCTAGTTCAGTTAACCCGGCATTGCAAAAAATACGTTCATATAACTGGAGTACATATAAACAGAGAGTTTCACTGTATTTTATTTCACACTCTACTCTTCCAACCCGAAGGTTAGACGAGCATTCCTTTATCCGCCACCTAGGGGACGCGCTGTGTAAGCTGTATCATCTCAGCCCACAGTTTCTGTGTGTGTGTGTGTGTGTGAGAGAGAGAGAGAGAGAGAGAAGAGATATAAACTCGACCTGGCAATCTTCACGTGGTACATCTTGGGTAATCCTAATACCGGCGGTACTGTAACTTTCAAGTTCCATAACTCCGAGAGTTCTTATGAAAAAATTTTGTAACCAGTGTTTCGGAAAGGTTTCTACGTTGGCTATAAATATATGCTATGAAAAAAAGGACATTCTATTTAAAAAAGTAAAAGTGACCATAATCTGATCTTGACACCGCCAATTAATACATTATAATAACTTTACTGTGTAATGCATCACTAAAAACCTTATAACTTTTCAACAAGATATGTATAAGGCCTTACGAGCCATTCTCAAGATGTTTTTTTGAGTAGAAACTTATACGTGTATATACATACATACACATCTTATAACTTTTGTATGAACCTTTTTTTTTTAAATGCGTATTTTTCGAAATAATCAAGAATTTCTATACTTTTGGAACACTCTTATATACAGTGTATTTGACAATTACTTTAACATTTTTTGCAGGTAGAAGGAGTAAAACTGAGTCAAAAAGTCCTATATCATTTTACGAGATTCGCAATAGTTACCGAGATCTTAATTAACAAAGATCGAGCGAATAAGCATGCATCGAGCTGTCTTCTGCTTGTAAAGAGCCGTCTACAATGGAGAGTTGTAGGCCGTAATAGTAAGAAATTGACCAATCACAATCGATTATTCTTCTGTACTTTGTCTGTGATTGATCAATTTCTTACTATTACGTCCTACAACTCTCCATTGTAGACGGCTCTTAAGACAGTACGGCGCGCTTCGCGCGCTTACGGTGTTATCCGTAGCAACGTATGGAAGAAGCTAATGTAACAGCATATCAGCAAATCTACCGTAGTTTTAATTGTTATGAAAATTTATTTTTTTTAAATGTGCGGCACTTACATTTTATATTAACGAATATGTCTGAAATAGGTTCAAAAACACCAATCTACACGCGTTAATGGTTTTAAGTAAACAGCGTAAAGTTTATCTGATTGAGGTCGACTTATATTTGTTTTTAGTTTTATATTGCAGTCATATTTAAATTACGCACTCTTAACGTTTTAACTAATAAAATTGAGTTTAAAAATTGTGATCACATGGATTCCGTAGTAAGTTATGGTATAAGAAAGAGTTTACAGTTAATATGGACTGAAAGAATTTTTCTCGGAATATGTGCCAAGGTGATTTGTGGATTGTTTAATGAATTTATGCTTTTGAAGGCAATCTTTTACACTGGTGTGTGCGTATTATTTTTTAGATACAATTTTCAACGTCTTAAATTTTTCGTTTTTGTGTTTGCTACAACTTCAGTTAGTAACTTAGTCAATTAACTTAATGGTGCGTATGTATTATTGTTAATTTTACAAAAATTAATATTTTGCAACAATGGAGGGACAAGTTTTTCAGCGGCCACCATTTTTTACGGTTACATAGCACATGATCGACCTTCAGGAAAAAAATGTATGAATGCAAGAACTAACTTTTCCATTTGTTACGAAAGCGTTATATAACACAGGGTACAAAGTTATTAAGAGTGAAACACAAATTCGAAAAGGACAAAATAAATTGTATGATTTTCTATATTTTTACCGACTTTATATACTTTTAAACGCCAGCAATGACACAAACGTTCTGCATTTTTATACATACTAATTACTAGAAAGTATACGAAGAAAAAATATGTTTTGTGCATATGAAAATCAACTCAGATTTATCAGTATTAAAAAGTCCATCAAAAGGTAAAATTACAGTAAATTTACTTATATACCATAACATGTATATACTTAATAAAAGGTAACCGCGCAAAGCGCGCTGGGCTGTTTTACGCGCGTAAGACAGCCTCATGCATGCTTATTCGCGGATTTTTGATAATTAAGATCTCAGTAACTATCGAATCTCGCAAAATAGTATAGGATTTTTCAATTCAGTTTTACTTTTTCTCACCTCTACGCACACACAATCCTTTCTGTCACTCCAAAACACTCGAAATAATTGCTCTAAAGATTCCAATCTGTCACCAACGGTCTCACACCGACACTGCCGGAAACGGAAGTCTTAAATATATAGTATATATAGTATATTTATATCATTTATCATTTTTTGTACAGGATCGCGTTAGACTCGAAGTTAATACTATGATTGAAGAGAATGGTAATAAATTTACCATATCGTCGTTACAAAAGTTATCGTACTTAGATAACGTTATAAAAGAGGTTTTAAGGTTATACCCCTCCGTGCTTCTTATATCGAGAGTGACAACAGAAGATGTAAAATTACGTGCGTATACTAAGTAAATGTACAATACAAACTTTTGAACATAGTTGACTGTTTTGTAATAATGTAACATGTCTTGTGTCAACTTATTTTGATTTCTTTACTTTCACTTTATTATGATAAGAAACAGATAGTATACATTGTATACGTTTTTATAGAATCATACACGATACCCTCGGGCACGAATATATTTATAAATATAAATGCAACTCACAAAGATCCAAATTTTTGGCCGAACCCGGAAGTATTTGATCCGGATCGATTTCTCCCAAAAGAGTGTCAATCTCGTCACCCATACTCGTACCTGCCATTTAGTGCAGGACCGCGCAATTGTATAGGTATGTAAAAGTGCACATTAGTATGTTTTTATTTAGTCTAAAGATTATTCTGTAATAAAAGTAGAAAAAGGTACCAATATTATCAAATAAAATAATATTATACTTTTATAGCTTTTTTGCTCGGCAAAACGTATCAGTTTTTCCACTTTTTAAATGTCTTATATTTCGTAACGTGTATGAACATTCTTATTTATTCTTACGATTTACAGGTCAACGATACGCTAATTTACAATTAAAGGTTGTAATAGCCTTGCTGGTACAAAATTTCTATTTAGAACCAGTTGATCTCTCGGAAAACATAGAAATAATGATGAAAATATCGATTAGTCCTACTCGTCCACTCTACGTAAGATTTGTTCCCATCGATATACAGTAACTTCGTGTATGAGCCGCATCTATTAAACCTTTAATTTATCAAGTTTGATTTATATAATATATCCGCGGGCGTAACATTTATATAAATGTATACAATTTATATGTAATGTTAAAGATCAATAAACTATATCAATGTTATACTGTTGTTTATTACAAAAATAAATTACACATTCAAAATCTTTATTCTTTATACTGTTACGTCCTGGACTCCACGGGCTCTTTCATTTTGCAACTGAATATAATTATTAAGTCCAACGATAATTCTAGGAAATGATCCTTGTAACGAATTCCTGGAAAGAGAAACGGGAGCCAGCCGAGATAAGATAGACAAGTCCAAACCGGGTGTCATATTATAAAAAAACCTAGCCGAACGTCATATTATAAACAAAATCTAACCGGTATCGATGAGCAAAGGTTATCGCCCCTCAGAGGGGAATGTGATGAACAAAGATTCTCTGTACGCAAGCTACGCGCTCGGAAATTTTGGGCATGACACAGCGGCTCTCGCGACTCTGGAAAAAAAATCGAAAATCAGGGGGCTAGAGTTGCGACTCGCAGACATAAACAAGATAGGGCACGCAGTGATAAGCGAGATCTAAACAAACGATGATCCCATCGATCCGGAGAATCAAACGAAAGGGGAAAAGGTCTTTGCCCCGACGGTCAACGAACAAGAGGGCAAAATTTCGAGAAAAGACGATGGAGAAGGGGAGATCAACCAGCAGGTATAAAAGCCCTGGATGCTCGATCGGGCATTCATTAATCAGTACGCAGTTTTCCAACACAGTTCGATTTTCAGAGAATATTTTCTCGCGATAGTCAGTGATTAACAATCGGTCAGTCAGTTTGAATCAAAGAAATTTCGCAAACTTCTCATTCGTCGAACCTGCTGAGGGTGCCGCCGACTTCCCTTGCGATCATCTGCGAACAGCGCGAATCCAAGCGAAACAACTACGACTAATCACCGAGCAACCTTGCCAATTTCCAGCATCACTATCACCAAAATATATCACCGAGTACATTGTAAGTCTCATTAATACAGACTCATACACCTTTTGCATTTCGATATGAGCAGCAGTCAAGATCATCAATTCTTACAACCATTTCTAATTCTCGACACCTAACGTAATGTAATGATTCCGAGTACCGTAATAACAACCGTAACATTTATCCAATCAATAATTCAATAATAGTGATCTACTCTTGATTGATTATCTTGATTTGCTACTCATAGTCAAAAGAACAGCGTCTATGTTAAAATAGAATCTTCCGAACAATAGATCCTCTCATTTTACGATCTCTTGCGGAGACGGATCCGACCGACGACCCGTAACTAACTAGTGTCAGTGTATTTTGACAAGAAATGATTTCTCGTAAACGCACTCCGGACTTAAGATTCTCTATTAACTTTAATCCAACTCAATAATCTCGATGTCACTACAACAAAACATTTCGCCGCTTGTAACAATACGCGAAGATCTCTTTAATAATAATTGTTATAGAACACGAATCGTCGCACCTGAACTGTACGTGCCAATTTAAAGCAAATTCATGCGGAGTCTACTTATGTTTTCCTTCAGTTATTATTATTGTTTTAACAATCTACTTGAATAAACAATTATGATAATACTTTGTAACAAATCCGGCTTTGATTAATTCAACCTTTATGGACCTCGTCTAACTAACAAACTACTACTAGTAAACCACACTCACTTAACAACCCGTTCATTCCTCGTTAAATCGCGTGGTTCCGTTCTTGATAATTGAGACTTGCGTCTTAGACCTAAAAAGGAACCGACGAGTGAGAATACGTTAGACAGAGAAAAATCGGGTAACCCCGTTGGCCTGTCTGCGTTGCCGAACTGTCTCGCTCGACCCGCGCATTCCTGACTTCCTTCTTTATGTCAGTGTGCCGGGATAGACTTCGCTTGAATGTGTTAGTGCGTCTGTTGCGTACTACCACTAATGTCTGACCGTAACCATAGGCTCAGGACGTAACAGATCATTGAAATTTTGGGGGCTCGTCCGGGATATAAAAACGCGAATTTGAGGAATAGGAATGACCACGAGATGTCCCCCTAAAAGGGGACATCCAAGTGTTATGCTAGAATTACGATGTCCCCTGAGAGGAGACAGCGGAGTGCAAAGGGTTAATATCGAGATAGTGATAATAATTATTTATTTGCTTATTTATTTTATAGGAAGACTCTTACAGAGAATACAAACAAATAATAGTTAATCTTTGTAATTACACTAATATAATATTTAAAATATCTTTTTTTCTAAATATTGTTTCTTTTTAGTATGGAACACTTTTTAGTATGTAACAAAATTAATAAGTAAAAAAGAGATTAAAGAAATACATAACAATAACAATCAGTACTACATTCATATCTCCACCGAAATGTAACTTATAAATTTTCCTTTTTTTTTATGAAATTCTTCCCGTACTTACCTCTTTCATTACTTTTGGACGAGATATTTCGTTATTATGATATCACTTATGCTTTAGACAAAATATTTCGTGTCACAACTTTTGTTATTCGAAAATGCTATAAACAAGATATCTTATATACTTTACTTTGTCATCTGAAAATTTAGAATAAAGAATCAATTCAAGAACATTTTGTTGATATCTCGCCCGTAGCACAGCAATAGAAATTGCGGTGCGTGGTATCTCATCTATAGCGTCACTCAAGCGACATTGTGATTGCGAGATATATCTTGTTCTCGATAACGAAAAGATTAATTAAATAAATAAGTAAACACACTCATTATTGACACATCTCAGTATTAGAATTATTTAGTTTAATTAGCAAAATATGCGAGTAATTGTTCGTAATTTGCTAATCAAAATGCAACATCCTAATGACAGAATCGCTTTCGTGTTCGGCCATCGTCATGTTCCATCTTCCATTATGTATGATATAATATATGCTGTTATGTTAGCTCCTCCCGTATATTATACAAACATACTTACTATACGTTAAATGCAATTTTTCAGTGTATTTCTAATAAAACAGTGTAAAATAAAAAAAATATTTGCATTACAGTTGATATTTTACATTGTTCTAACTCTTACTAACTCTTCAAGAAACAAATCTCACCAATGACGACCAGTTGAACAGACTAGATCTGTGAGATCCGCGTGACTTTAAAATTGAATATTTCCACGAAAAAACAATATTTTTTTCAGTTTTATGTTTTTGAATCGAAAGTTTGAATATTATATGCGTCGATAAAAAACAAATCTAAAAAATTTCTAGTAGTTCCAAAAATATAAATGTTAAAAGAATACAACATCTTTACCATACACGCCAATGCGCAATTTTTGAGTGGATCTGGAAGACTTATGTCTGTTCACGAAGAACTAAGACTTTTATTGGCTAATATGAGTTCTACTGTAACCGTAAGATATCATAAATTTGTCACATACCTGAAAAATAGCAAATATTATTACGATAAACAATAGTAAAAAAGAAAGAACTTTGTTTTTCCATTTTTGATGGAGGTATGAATGTATTCACTTCTGATACACGTCCTATCAACGACTGTGTCAAAATAGGGTTAAGAGGCTTACCTCCCAGCAATAACAATGATTCATAAAAAAATAATAGATAAATGATAATCTATCGCACACTCTTATCGAATTGATAGGCTTATCGAATCGATAAGCATAAGCCGTAACATGTTCTAAATTTTTTGCACAAAGTAAACTGTGAAAACTAACTTATTATTAGAAATTTTGTGCTTTCATTATTTTGCTTGGGTTTTTTACTCTGTAGATGAAACATACTTTTAAAAATATGTAAATTTTTGCACTACATTAAATATAAAAGATTTTTATTTCTTTTTTTTATAAAATTTATTTAAATAGAAGTATATTTTAAGTAAAACTATATTTTATAAAGAAAATAAATTTAGCAAGTAACATAAATTAGAAACAAAGAAGTCTAATTGCTTTTACAAAAACATCTTACTTTTTAAGAAATTCTTGCGAAATTAATTGAATTCATGAGAAAACAACAAATTTAAACTTTTTGTTCTTTAACTAATAACATGGTACTTTTATTTAATTAAGGTCTTCAACACACTCATACTTGTTTTTGGAAAAACACCCGGATCAGCATAAGTTACGTATGCTGTAAAAAAACCAACTTCATGTTTACTTGTATTAGTAATGATAAGTGATATTTATAATTTTTCTTACCTTGAAAATACGGCCAATATTGAGAATGATTCACAATCAGATACGTTATCATGGCAAAACAGAAAATGTGAACGATAACGACAATAAAAAAAAAAAAAAAAAACAAACTTTGCGTTCACTTGTACGCTCATTGTTAATGAAAATTTGTATTTTAAGCGTGCACAATTCTAATCCTAACAGCATTGATTCAATATGCGCTTATATAATACATATAAATATATCCTTATATCTATTTTTAGTATATATTGTGTATATTTGTTAACGATTCCTTTCTTGTGATGTTAGTGAACTCATAACTGTACTAAAATGTTCACAGTTAATATTTAGATTTTTGCTTACCTGTGAAAAAGAATACTTAAGCCACCGCCTGACCAAGCTGAGCTAGCCAGCTCACAGCCTAACGAAGAGATAGGTGTTCGCACGCGGGATCAAGAAATAAAGTAGAACGACGGTAGGCGCAAAGCGTTGGTATACATTACTTTTGCACTACAATAAAGTACAATTTAACTTCCTTCTGTTTTTGTCACTCTTTAGAAACAATCGTGCTTGACATGTGTAATTAAAGTTATGTTCGTACTGCGCATGCATAATTAGCTCAAGTGTACGGGTAGTGAAATAGCAAAACGAGTAAATTGATTGAAGCAAAATATAAGAATTTGAATGATGGAGTTGAGTTGTGAAACACTGCTGTATCTATTTCTAAGTTCTAACATCAATCATTTTTAAAAATTGTGCTTGTGTTCTTTCAAATACTTAATTTATTAGTATACATGTACGTATTTGTTTTTCAGAAACATGTCGATCAATAGAACAGATAAAAATTATACATATTATTACAATATAATATGAAAATATTATTATACTATGATATAAATTTTATAAAAATTTTCATACAAGTTTTTAAATTGTTTTTTAGCTATACAATAACATAGAAAAAAACCCGCAAAATAACGAAAACACAAAAATTCTGATAATTTCAAAAAATGTCAAGCTTAAAAGTTGAAGATATTACCTGCAATTGTCCAAAATAACACAAACCATCCTAGAGTGATTATATTATATGACATTTTATTAGCACTATTATCTGAAGCCGTGATCGATTTTTTGGTGGACGTCGTCCGATCGGTCACTTTTTCAGTGGATGATAACGTAGTCGATGATAAAGTGGTCGATTCTCCCGTGGTCGGGGTCGCAGTCGACGGCGACGATGAAATGGTCGATTCTCTTGTGGTCGGGATCGCAGTCGACGGCGACGATGAAGTGGTCGATTCTCTTGTGGTCGAAGTCACAGTCGACGGCGACGATGAAGTGGTCGATTCTGTTGTGGTCGGGGTCACAGTCGACGGCGACGATGAAGTGGTCGATTCTGTTGTGGTCGG